TAACTATGCCAATGAAATGATGGATGATATGGAATGAATGTAAAGCTGATGTTCTCCCATGTCGACTATCACACAATTCACAATAAAACATTTTTTAAAAAAAGAAGAAGGAAGAGCATGTGTTTTCTATTTTTATTCCTCCTTCTTTCCTAACCCTTCCCGCCTTCTGAACTTTGTCCCCGGACAAATGCTGCCCTTTTGATTTGGAATGGTTGATTGTTATATGGAGTGCATGTGAATCTCCCTAACGTTATTGTTCACCTTAAAGACCAGTGTACTGTTAGTCTGAAGTTGAGCCACGGGAAAGGCTAGAACAATCTTGATAGATAGCAAAAATCATGTATCCTATAGAAATAGCCTTGGTGTTTTGGTGGCTTATGCATTGGGCTGCTAACTGCTAAGTCAGCAGTTAGAGTCCACCAGGAGCTCTAGGGGGAAAGAGGAAGTTTTCTGCTCCAGAAAAGTTTACAGACTTAGAAACTATATACAGAAACTCTATAAACTCTGAACCGACGCAATGGCACAAAACCACCAGCCATAGAAGATGTTGGGCCATGGATACAGGATCTGCTAAGAAAAGCTAAATTAAATTAGGCCAATATGAGTGGTTTTGCCTTTGAAGATTAGGGCTTGCAGGACTAGAGGAGGATTTCTTTAGTTGACTGTTGCATGTCCCTCCTTCCAGAGTTGAGAGGACTTTCAAAGGTACCACTTCGATTAATATATGTGTCCTTGAAGTTGGAGAACAAATGGTCCAAGTAGATGACACATGCCTGAGAAATCTCAAAGTCAGAAGACAGACCTGACATTCAGAGCAGATGGAGAGCAGGAGCATGTTGCACTTGAAGGGGAATGGTGGTGGTGAAGGGTGTCTGTGAGGTTTTCCATGGGATTCACTGGAGAGAATCTATCCATAGTGCTGTTGAACGAAACCTGCCATGGGTATGGATGGGGAGGAAAGAGACTCAACAGAAGAGAATTGTCAGATACCCAAGGCTGAGATACTCAGGGAGATACCCAGAGAAGAAGCCTGATCTGCTTCCAGCATGCTGTAGTTCAAGGTTCTCAGTAAGAGAATCTCTGGAAACAATGGCAAAAATGCCCCAGTCAATTGTGACTGTCTTCTAAGCCCAGAGGTTTAGCAGAGTTGTTGTTGTTGATATTAAGTGCCGTTGAGTTGGTTTC